GGTACTCATCTTCAAGTGTAATGGTAGCTCATAATGCTGCCTGTACCTCATTAGAAGTCAGTCTTTGTTTTAAAAGTAACATCACATCCTTCCAGCCCAGCTCTGAGGTCTGAGTAAGTCCCTGGAAGACATCAATGTACTTATCACATCACGGTGGTCTGAAAACTTTCTGGGTCTTGTTTGATTTTTTGGGGGTCACTGAGAGAAGAGGGCTTGTAGACACAAGCATGTCTGAATTCACTATTTACTTCTTGTGAGGGACATTATGGTGAGGGGCTTGAATAAAATTAGCCAAAGATGGATATATCCCCATAAAGAGTTTAATTATGGGTGGCCTAGAAGCCTCACTCTTACACTCTAAAGGATAAGGAGAAAGAATCTCAGTCTCCAAATTACAAGTATGAAGAGCTGTAAACTCAGCAATAATAGGTGGGGCTTTGATAAGGGTTGTCTTGGAAACCTTGTCCTGGGGTTTAGTGATAGTAGGTGGGGTTTTGACTGAGGTTGGTTTGGAAGCCTTGCCTCTCATGTTCCAAAAGGCAGGGGTGGGAAACCTCAGTGATAGGGGCCGGAGATTTCTGGATTTCCTGTGCCTCATGTTTTGTTAATGCAAATTATTTGTTAATTAATGCAAATTTTTAATGCAAAGAAAATCTGAACATAACGCACTTCTGACCATTTTCACTCTTACAGTCCTATTCTAGTTGTGAAATAGCATCATAGTCTATACTTCCTTCTGCATTCCATTTTGGCTCTAGGGGGTAGGCAGGTCATGGCCCGTACAGAGAAATACTGAATCATTCTTCCTCTGTATGTGAAAGTCAAATGTTTTCCATTGTTTGAGAATACATTCCAAAGGATAAGAGGTTCAGATATGGACTTCCCCATCTGAAACAAGAGAAACAAACTGGCGTCCCTGTAAGTTTCTGCTCAATTCTTGTGCCCTTGAGGCATCCCCAAAGTTGATTGCACTCCAGGGCAGGTTGCTGCCCACTGGAGAGAGACTCAGAAGATAAACTGGACTGGACTATACCTTTTTAAAGACCCCAGTGTTGGATCTTATGGTCCCAGGAAACTCGTGTGTTTTTACTCCCATAGGTACTTCTAACATACAAGTTACAGTTGATCTTAGCCATAACAATTATGTTTAAAGAGGGAAACATTGCTAGTAAAATCAATAATCAAGAGATCTAAACCACTACTTTTTAGTTCTTTGAGTCAGGAAGATGGGTCAATGTTCAAATTAGGGCACTTTTATTTTTTTTGCTTGCAAAAGAGATCATTCTAGACACAGGTGGAGGAGAGTGTCAAGTATATCACTCAGAGGGATTCTGCCCTAGGTCCTAGGTGGGAGAAACCTCTAAGACATTCCTGCTGTCTTAATCTAGTCACCTAGACAACCTTCCTTAGGGGCAAGACAAAGGTACATATTGTTCATGGTCCTTTTTTTTTTTTTTTTGGTACCAGGGATGGAACTGAGGACCTTGCCCTTGCGAGGAAGGCGGCAGAACCACTGAGCTAAATCACCGGCCTTCATGGTCCATTTTTAAATCACTACGTATCTGAAACTCAGAGGTTAAACTTACGTTCATCACCTAGCAACCACAATACACATTAGTAAAGGCACATCTATCTGTTTTCTGCCCGTACGTGAAACGAAGAGAAAGACTGACCAAAATTCCTTATTATTCTAGTTAGCATGTAAAACTCAAGTATAAGTTGCTAGCTGATTGCTATTTTCCTCTGTGTAAGACAAAACAGTTGTTGCAAGTTGCCCTTAGCCTCACTTCCAGGTAGGAGGGGTGCTCTAACTACAAGGGGGTTCTAAAGTCAACTCTCAGGGAGTTGAAGAAAAGTTTAAGAGGAGTTTCTGACTCACTAGTAGAGAGAAAAAGTCCCAATAAAAGCCTAAGGCATCTAAACACGGAAAAAAAAAATCATTATATAGCGTTTTACAAATCTACATTAAAAGTTTCAAAGACCACAACCTATTAGCAAAAATATTTTCCTTCCCTACACATAAAATGATGACTAGACCCAGGAGGGGAGAAAGAGAAAGTTGGCAGTTGCTAATCTAGCAAAGATTCGTTTTCTGTGTCAGACTGTCTAGGGGTCTATCTTACTAGCAGAGAAAGAGCAGTCCAAACCAGTAGCTCAACTCTTTAACGGTGGCTTAAAGGGCTCTGAGGGCATTGTTTCAAGCCACTCTGAGACAGAGGATACCTGAGAGACAGAGGATACCTGATGATCACTGAGAGTTCCCTTCCATCTCACTGAGGAGTCCAGGTAGGAATGATAGATAGGTGGAGATTTTCTGCTGATTACCCAATCAGGTTGTTGGGACCTAGCTTCCACTGAGGGCAGAGAGTAGCCCTGGCCATGACCCCTCAGGTGTCACCTCAGTTTTTACTAGTTCCACGCAATCAGAGATCTGTCTTTGGAAAGGAATCCAGTTGTCTATCTGGTCAGCATTGCCTTAGCCATTGGCTTCCGTGGGGCTGAGGATTTACCAGAGGGCAATTGGAGAAACCTGTCCTCTGCTTTGAGAATGCCCTAAGGGAAATTCCTAGCTGGCAGAGTTACCACTGTTTGTTTTACCATTCTATAAGGAAGAAATAAAAGCCAGAACTGTCTTTACCAGAGATGATTTCCTAAAAGTCCAATTTTACAGCACTTTCTAAATTTACTTGTAGTTACCGTTAAAGACCATTAGGTGGCACTCTAATACTACTTTTTCCTAGTTCTGTTGTCTAACAAAACAGAATTCTAGCAGATTCATCAACTTCAGCAATTAACTCCAAGTGCAACATATACAAAACAGGAATAAAATGTAATTTTAACAAAAGACAATGCATACACAATTGTAAAGGATACGATTAAAAATTTAAGATAATACCTAAATGAGCCATAGTCCAGTCTGTAAAAGAAAAAGCCAGAATCTGTGAAACAGAAAGAATCTATAAAACAAGAACCAGAATCTATGAAAGTAAAAGTTAAAACCTGTGAAACAAAAGCAAACTCTTATCTCTGTCTAGTTATCTCAGTGGAAGACCTCCAAATAATATAGGGTATCAAATAATCCAAATAATGTAAATAATCCAAACAAGGGGAATAACTCCCAACCTGCTACATATCTGAAGCGCCAAGTTTATATGTTCTAAAATCAGAGAATGAATTCTAGGAACAAGGGGAGTTAAGAGTAGGGAATGTTTATTGAGGGAAAGACAGCTCTTGCCTGAGAGGGACAGGAGGGAGCAGCCAGAAAGTGGGTTGCCTGGGACTCCATTTGGCGGGGGGTGGTTATGGAGCAAAGCCATGAGGTGAGGTGTGTACAAAGAGGGACAAAACTGTAGACAACTAATAAGATCCAGTGGAAAATCACAAGGTAGGATGAGATAAGACAAGACCATGATCAATAAGATTACAAGTACATTTGGTTAGGTAATATTGATAAAATGGAATCAAATTGGGAAGCAAGTCACATAGCCAGCATACAGGATTTTCCGGAAGGAATGGGCTAGGGAGATTTGGTCCCCACTCAAGGTGATTGATACCTATTTAGAACATCAGTCTCTGCTCTTCATCTCTAGGGGAAGCATGTGAGTGTAGCACTTTACCCTTTTGAGTCTTTGCCTTGAGTAGATGGGCCTCAGTTGCCTTCTGTATTGATTCCCTCAAGGACAGCCCTGTCTAACTGCCTACAACAGATCTAATTAGCTTCACTGTCTACACTAGTATCACAGACTACCTGTGAGTATTATTACCATTTGCACCAGTTAGTATTATTGCCGTGTTCCTCTGAGCCTTTAACAATCTAATGAGAGGTTTCAGACTTTGTCCAGAAGAGGGTATATGAACATGAAATTTATATATTTATATATATCTTATATGCTATTTCCTGGGGCTTTCGTAGAGATAATGTTCACACTCGGAACACTGTCACTCTCCAGCATAAAACCAGTAGTACCCTTCGTCTCCTCCGTGTGGCCCCCAGACTTCTTGTAATTGTCCATAAGGAGTGCCTGTGATCCGCCTGTGGTGTTTTTCTAGGTTCACCTTTCTCTGTAGCACCACATGAACATGTTTAAATTGAGCTGTTGGTCACTCTTCAGAATGATGCCCATGAAAACATTCATGACTTTGCTGATGTTCTCTCTTTCTCTCCTTTTCCTATTGAAATTCAGTTCTTTGTTTAAATCCTAACTCAATGCAAAATCTTCCACCAATTCTATTAAGTCAAAATAATATTCTTTTACACTTCTGTATGTATTTTAAACCCTTTTTGAGGTATCTTTAGTTTTATTGTAGTTATTTCTATATTCTGTCGTTCTCAAAACTTGGTCGTCTTTCAGGGAATATGGTTAGAATTGTTCATCACTCTGCCCCACACAGTGCCTTGCTCGTAGTAACTGCTAATAACCTGCCTAAGTAGGGAACAGGGAACATGAGGAAGCCTTTCTCACTTTTTGGTGCTGGGACTCGAACCGAGTCTCTCACATGTCGGGCAAGGCCTCTACCTCTGCCCTCCAGCCCTGCTTTCTCTTCTTCACTTCACACAGAGGTGCTCCCAGTAAAGCAAAATAGAATCACCCAAAGAATCTTTTTAAGAGTTTTGATATTAATTTATAATTCACGATAGAAAGTTTTATAGATTACTGTGTCCTTCCCCATTCAAATTTGCTGAATTATCACTGTGAAAGAAAGACCTGCAAACATGCATTTAAAACATTCTGTTGTACAACCAACTTAGTGCAGTTCTAGATTTCAGTGTCTTCGGATTGAGTAAGATTAAAACAATCAAAAACAAATGAAAAAACAGCCTGTCTTACTCATCTAGACCAAGTGCTACTGCTGTTAGGAACTGGACACCATGAGATTAATGCTGGAAAGTCTGGAGAGCCATGGACAGAGCCCTTGAAAACTTGCTAGAGAATGTAGAAGTTACTGTTTCAAGTTTGTTGTTCTCTGGTAATTGTTTTGATTCCCTTTTGTCTTTGCAGGACATAGCTCGCCTTTTACAAGAAAGGGAGTTGCAAGAAGAAAAAAAGCGAAAGAAATATGTTCCAGAATTCTCTGGTGCCAATGTTTTTGGAGAGAGTTATTATTATGAAGATAGAGGTAAAGATGTCTTCATTATGACTACTTTGTCCTTACTTAGACTCAACCTCAAGATACCCCGTTAATTTTGTCCATAAAGTGACCTTAGAGACCTGGGAACATTCCTTTTATTCCCAGGCACTTGGTACATTTAGAGTTATGGAAGGATTATATTTGAACACTGTGAACATCTATATTCTTTGCTTGGACAATCAGAGCCATTTTTGTGACTATTAAGACTTGAATATGGCTTTGTAAGACTTGGTATACATTCTTTTGTGCTGCAGCCCCTTGAAGTACTATATCATATTCTAAATACATAAAGCGGGGTGTGGAAAATGGCGGATGAGTCTCTGAATTTAATTTTTTTCAAAGCTGGGCAATGCCGTTTGTTTAAATTAGTGAAATGGTATGAAGAAGGTGTACCACGTATCAGGTACTGGGTAACAAAGCTTTTTTATCCATGCTTTCTTCTTTTAATCTTGGATCCATGCTTTACCCTGCTTATGACAAACACAATTAATTATGCATTTTTTGATTTTTGAAACTTTCATTGCTATTTGATTGAAATGTAAAATAATTTCTGAGGGAAAAAGAAATTCCCTCCAGTCTTGCTTATCTGGTGTCTGCTTTTGCAGGTTGGTAATGGTAGTGGTGTGGTGGCAGCAATTGCGGTGTTGGTAATTCTGTATCTTAAAAGTGTGTTGGGAAAAGAGTATTTGCAAGTTTAACTCCGTCCTTTTCAAAGATCTTCCAAAGGGAAGACGTTTCTTGTAGTTTCAAGTGTAACTCTAATGAAGGTCAGCTTAGTGAACATACTTAAGGTAATCAGTGAACAAAACATAAAGACACCTTCTAGAGAGTAAAGATTTTTAGCTCAGTGATCCTGAAAGGCCTTACAAACTAATTATCAACCACTTTCCTATAATCCCATTACAGAAGGTAAGTGTGTGTTTGTCTTTCATTAGTAGGATGAAAGGGATGCATATGTGGATGTTAGGATTATTAGAGTTTGGATATAATCTTGCTCAGTCACAGTTTTTGTGCTAAATTTACCATATCTGGAGCTCTACTCTGTTATTTAGTACACTGGTTGCGTGATATTTTCTTTCTCCATACGTGAAATGCTCAGCTCTTTTTTGATAACCATCTTCGGCGTGGTAGTTTTCCTGGTGAAATTATATATTACATCGCTTAAAAAGAAAGAAAAGTTATCACCGTACTTAGCTATACTAGAGACCAGAGGTAGTTAGTACCTTTAATAACTCTTTAATTGCCTTCAATTAAAATCTTAGAAATATGGTCTAGTGTTTTTTTGTTTGTTTAATTTTTAATTCTCCTCTAGAAGCACGTTCACTGTAAAAAGTAACTGTTGTCAACTTTGAAGTCAGTAAAAGCATTAGGAAAACAAGTGATTAAGTACACATCAGTACTAATTTTAACCTGCCTTTACAAAGCTGATACTAAACTGAGTTGAGACTCAGACTCATCATCTTGGTTCATACCTCTGGGCAGGAGATTGTGTTAAAAATTCAGTGGTTTTCAGGTCCGTTTAAACATTTTTAGCAGTATGTATTTAACTACTTTTATAAATATGTGAAAAGGGGCATGTGTGTCTCTTTGGGAGGATGGGGGATTGAGGGTTAGGAAACTGTGACCCCGGCACATGTAGACACCGTGACTTCTCTCGCCTTGACCAAGGTGGTGGTGGGCGTTATGCCTTGCCCAGCGTGGGACGCTTCTTTATATGCTTTGGACTTAGACCAGGAAGAGTTACGCAGAGACGTACTGGCGCTCAGCTCGTGCTTACGCTCAAGCAGCCCTTTGTTCTTTGCAGTGGTCCTTTCCCAACACACCTGGTGTACTTTTTAGTTGTATTTTTCTGTGTGCAGTTTGATTTTTGCCCTACTTATAATCAAAGTGTATCATTACAGAAATGGTAATCCTTTCAGCTCATATTTTACTTAAACTTTCATAAATTATTTTTAAGATGATCAGTTACAGATTTTCTGCAAATTTGAAATTATTCAAAATATCAGTTGTGAAATGATACATATTGTTCAATTGTGAATCCATGTTTTTCCTTCAAAGCCACTTAAACACTCTATTGTGATTGTATTAGTGATTTTTGTTTTTGGTACCAGGAATCGAACTCAGAACCTTGCACTTGCGAGGCAGGTGCCGTGCCACTGAGCTAAATCCCTGGCCCTGTATTAATGATTTTTTAAAAAAGATCATGGTCTTTTAAAAAGTCAGTTATAAGACTGTTTTCAAGTTCTGTACCTTCCTTAGAACAATTGTAATTTTAACAGTTATCTACTATAATTTCTCTGAGCTTTTTTCTTGTCTGTAAAATACAATTCTAAAACTATGTCCTTCATATAAATGCTTCAAAAGATCAAAGAATGTAACTCTTCTGAAGGATGTGTAAACTTTGAAATACTATTTTTATACATATTTCAGTTTTTTTTGTGTGATACAGTATTTTGTTTAAACAAAAATCATCTTGTTTTGAATGACAGACATGGAGGCATGCATATAAGATTTATATGTGTGTGTACATATATATTACATGTTTATGTACACACATATGTATATATTGGCAATGAGGGAGCTAATTATATTTGCCAAATAACTTGGTCTTAAGAAACATACAAGTCTCAGCCCTCAAATAGAAGAAGTTTTAAAAGATTCAAATAGGTTTTAAAGGATCCCTCCCATTTAAAGATAGCACAATAGATGAACTAGATAATATTTTTTTTCTAGCCAACTCTGCAAACAGTGACAGCTTTGTAAAAATTCTTTCAGCACAGTTCTATGAGGTAGAACTAGTATCAGTTAAAACTATTTAGGAAGAATTGTTTTAAAAATAGCATCACAAATTCATGTTGAAACAAAATCCTTTCTCTTTCCTTTTGGCTTAGTGATGGACTTCCCCTGTACAGCTCTCTGTGGAATATTGGTATTAACACTGCAAACAATTGTTTCCTGAATGCAGTCATTATTTAATACCTTATAAGTGTTATATTAATTTACTACAGTAGCCAATAGATCCTTTCTCAGTTGTCAGAATTAAAATAATTGTTTGGTTAAAGGGACAGATTTTTTTTTTAACCACAGAGAGTAAATATGCTATTTTCTGATTTCTTGATAAATATAAATTTAACCATAAATAAAAATAGATAAATATGTTTACAAATTGTTTAGGAGACAGGTTTTAATTTAGACATGTCTTTGAAGGAAATTTTCTTCTAGCCAGCGTAAGAGGGAACTACTTGAGGATTTTCAGGGGGACCTGTGGCATCAGTGTTGTATAATAACACTTATCTCCCTTTTACTCTGTCCTTTGATATCAGTAACAGCATCAAACCAGACAACACCAACCCCTAACACCTGAGAAAATAGAGTTCTTTATTTGTGCTACCTATCATCAAATTGTGGTAGCTGCTTCAAATCTAATTCAGCAATTGGTTGGTTCTAGCAGAAAATGTTATTTTTAGCAATATTAATAATTTTCCATGGAATTAGAATTTCTTTTTATTACATCCAAAATGCAGTGGGGTTTTAGAAAATGTTAAAGACTTGCAAAGTGCATATTAATTCCTTTGTTCCCACAGTATGCTTGTGCCTAAATGAGACTTAGCAGAAGCACTCATGTATGTGCTGTTTTGAAGTTCATATTAAACTTGGAGAATTGCTGTATATATTTATCATATATTGAATTTTTATACAAAGGCTATAATATACAGTTTTTAGAAATATATTTAGGAAGTGACCCCTTTTTATCTATTTTAGTATGGCATCCCTTTTTAGTTTTTTCCTCTGACAACTTCAACTATAATTGGGAACAGCATTATCTAAAGATAACAGGGTAATTTACTCACTTAAATGTCTCCTCTATATTAGCCTCTTCGATATTGAACCCTAATGTAGGGCTCATCACTGAAGTGGCCAGGAAAGTTTGCTTTGACCACATAAGCAGGGAAGATAGAAGAATCCTAAGGTCTGTGAACCATTTCTCTGAATGTAATAGAGAAATGATATATCTATTGTCATTTGCAGTAAACACATTTGAAAGCCTATGACTGAATCATAGACTATTTTCTGTTGTTTTATAAGACTGTTTGACCCCTAGTTTTCCTATACTAGTTCCAAATTGGTTTTGTAAAGTATTATTTAATGTTTAATGGCTATAATTTTTGTTATTGGCAAATATGAAAGTACTCCATTAATCATGATCAAGTTATTTCAAATTTAAGTTATTTTAATTAATTTTAGGTTTTTTACCTTTTTTGTCTATGTACCCAGAATCTTTCTAGTATTCATAGACCATTCCAACAAATGCTCCCTCTTTTATACTTGCTAAGTTAAAGCAATTTTCTCCATTTTAAAGTATGTTAAACTTGGGCCCTGACTTCCCCTGGGTGATGGATGAGGTTGTTCTCTCATTCAATTAATCTGCATTCTTATTTTTCACATCCCTTTACCTCCACTCAGACCAGCCAAGGTCGAGGAGGGCCAGGGAATTGGGTTCTGGATATTCAAAGTCTTGTAGCCTCCATAGTGTTGGAAAGACTGTGAAGCAGAGGAAGGAGAAACCAAGAGATCCACTGGAGAACTTAGAAGAGCTGGAAGAACGTTGTTCCTTGGAGAGATCCCTGTCATCCTGTAGGCAGGACAAAATGAGGGAAGCTCCAGAGGTCACCAGTGACAGGAAACGGTCTGGCCAGGAGAGACTTCGGAGACCTCCACTCCCCAAGATCAGCGGGGAAGTGTTTCTGAGTGCTGAAACTGGTGACTGGGAGGCTAACAGTAGCCCTCGAACTCGGAAGTGGGAAAAACAGTCTCGACATCAAGACCAACTTTCACCCAAATCCTCCCTGAAAGCAGGGCTTCATTGCAAGGAAGCTGTGTATGGGAGGGCCACTGGGCAAGGTGAGCACAGAGAGAGGAGGCGCAGGCCCAGGACCCCTCCCTTCTCAGAGAGTGAGGAGCGGCACCACCTCCGGGATACAGGTAATACAGGATAGTCCCATCCGTGCCTGGGTATCATGTATATGCGTACAAACGAGTACATTTAATAAGCTCTTAAGCCCACTCTCTTCCTCTTCAGTTTGTGTTCGTGTACATGAAACAAGTTCTGGAGCCAAATAATATAAAAGGTAATATACTTAATCCCTGGGCTGTAGAAAGAAGAAAAATGTTTGTACCTTTCTCTCTCTGTGAAAATACACTGATACCTTGGAAGGTCCTTCCAGGTCCAGATAACAAGTGGAGCTGCCCACCCCAGATACACTTCCTCATTTGCCAAGACTGTACATCTCATATCCTTGATACCCAAGCAAAGCTCCTGACTTTCTGGTTTTACTTCAGTGAACCCAGAAGATCTGGTGACAGTGCTTTAATACTATTTGCCTGCTAATAGGGCTGGACGTATTGGATTTTCTAGACCACATGTTTCTCATCTGTACAATGAGAGATTGTGTAGGCAGTCATTTAAAAGAATATTTTCACAGTGTGGGCCTCAGTTCAATTTCATCAGAAACAACTGGGCTGTTTCCTAAAAATGCAAATTCCTGGGTCATTTTGGGCATGTTTTCGAGCTGGAGGTGATTCTTAGGAAATTAAAGTTTGAAAATCATTGCTTTAGTTCCTTCATATGCTCTAACTTTCTCACCTCTAACTCTATGGTTGGTGTTCCAAAGTGCAAATGCAGGTGAGTTGATGGCACCTGTGAGGAAACAAAGTGAATATTAGAGAGGATTCCCAGGTTTGGGGACTTCTCCTGAGGGTTAACTCTGAAGTCCATCATGAACACAGTGAGGGCTCTTTCTGTTGTTTGGAACCCACAGAGGTGCTGTTTTCCATGTGGCTTTAACACTGTCATAGCACCATGTTATCTAGTATTTTCTGACAGCATACTTTATCATTCTGGTTTTATTTAACTGTTACTAAAATTTTGTAGAGGTGAAAGGATTATTGGGGTAGTAGTTCCCAGGAGGAGCCTTTGTGGCCTAATCATGCTCCACTTGTGGTTGGGGAACTGGCTTCTAGGCTGCAGAATCGGTTGATTGGGTTGTTTTTTCCTATCACATTACCTCTAATGAAAAGACTTGGTTATAAAGACAGTTAAAACTGAGTTTAATAAGCTATCCCAAGTATCTGTCACAGATATTCTTTCTTGGACTTTATGCTTGCATTTAAGCCTCAGGGTTAACAGACAAGCTGAAAATGTGTCTAGGAAAACAAACACTTTCAAATTAGATTCACTGTGTTAGTTGAGAAGCGAACAAAGAGCTGCAGGAGAAAAGAGAGCATTATAATCTTACCCGGAGTAGGTTTTTGAGGGAAGTCATGCTGCATCCAAATTTAGAAAAACAAGTTAGATTTCCAAAGGAAGTGGGAAATACAGGGGAGGAATGGTGATTACAGTGACCTCTACATTTCTGATTCTGTGAATCTGACCTTATAAATGTGCTCTGAGGGATGGTTAGCTTTTATGGCTTTTAGGTGTGCTCCACGGTGTTTAAAATAGGTTTAGGAAGCATGAACCTAAACATTGATTCACAGGCTCTAGTAAGGGAGTTGCAGGCAAAAAAAAATTTTTTTTAAATTTTGTTAGCATAAAGGTTTAAAAAAATGCAGCTAGGCAGGCTTTAAAATGGTTACAGCTTGAACTGCTTAGTCTCTTATTTTATATCCAGCTGGCTTTACACATTTTATAGCCCTCCTGGAGTAGGTCAGAGGATTACATTAAAATATAATAACTAAGTAAAAGCACAATTCTTATAGTTGTTTTCATAAACCAAAGTTTTATTTTACTTAATAATGAAGAAGCTATGCATTAGAGTATTGTATATCAGTCTTTCTTATCCATTGACCTCACTGAATATTAAATTCGCTATCTGGGAATCTCCCTAAATTCAAAGAAGGCTCATATTCCATTTACTTATGGGCCACTCCTGGGAGTGTGCCACTGTTTCTTGCTATTCCAGCAGTCAGAAATCTAGGTTAAAACCAGCCCTGCAGACAGTGTAGTAGCTCTGCAGATGATATGAAATGGTCTGAGTAATCAGCTCCTAAGCTAAGAAAGCCAGGGTTGTGTACCTTTTTTTTTTCTCTTTTGGTTCTAAAAGTCACTACATAGGAGTCTCTGGCTTTTGAACTTACCATAAAGCTTGGTTGAAAGGTTACAAAGATAAGCGTCACACGATTACATAAAATCTCTAAATGTAGTTTTCTTTCTGTGTGTGGTAAGGCATTTTAATAGAAACCATTTGAATGTACAGTTATCGGTGGACATAATGCCCTGAACTACTGGTTTGATTGTTACTTACAAATAAGAATCAACTGACTGAAAACAGTCAGGCAAGGCCAGGATTCACCCAGGCTATTCGAATTAGAATCTCTAGAGGTTGGGACAAATACTGCTGTAGTTCTTTACCCCAAATGATTCTAAGTGGCCATGGTTGCCCAGCAGGGTGCTGTAGAAAGAGGTGGGAAATCAGAAGTACATTTTCTTTCTCCTCTCAGTGGCTCATTTGCTTAAAGACACTACTTTAGATGGCTGGCCTTGTTCACTGCATTCAAAGCTTTTATTATTTCTGAATATAATACATTCATATTGCTGAGAAATTGCATTTATAACAAAATAAAGGGAAACATGTATCCATGAGTTTGAAATAACATTTACTTTAATTGAAAGTTATAAAAGGAATATATGCTGTTCATAATATTGAAAGTAAAGAGCCAAAATTGGCCACCAGTCCTCCATGTTCCTTTGCAGTGGAATAGAACTCTAAAGTCATTGTGTTCTCTGAAACATCCCCAATGTTACGTCTTCCCTGAAATTTAATAATGACATTAAAGAATGGATCAAAGCTGTGAGAAAGATCTAAAGCAAGGAAGTTTGTTTAACACCAGAGCAGAACCCATGGCAGAGTCCCTGGTTTGCTAATGTGTATTTCTGTGTACTTTGCAGATGTTGATTTCCTGTTTTCTACAATAAGATAAGGAGGTTTCAGTAATTAGGAGAAAGCCTCTCTTCTCCAGTCTTGTCAGCTTAGCCTCTTTCACATTATGATTCTGTAACATTCTTTTCTTTAAATTCTTTTTATTTTCAATGACTTGTTTTCCATTTCCTATTTTGTGAAGGCCTCACTTGCAGTTCTTAGCATGAGTTTCTGCTGTTGAAGAAATTATGTGAGAGGGGAGTTTTTACCAGGCAGGTTTGGGTGGGTGACTCTGTTAAAATATATGGCTTATGTGCACTGCCACTTCCACTCCTAGGGGAAAAAGTATGTTTCAGACCACCCCCACTGAATTCCGGAATGGAAGCAATTTCGACAAGTGTTAGATACTAAATAAAAACTTCTCACAGAAATTTTTCAGAAAAAAACCTGAGTTACCTGACTGCATTGAACTTTCCTTCCAGGAACAAAACCGAGGATGACGAAAGAAGCTGTGTGCACTCTCTCACGAGTGACCCACAGAGATCAGGAGTGGTATGATGCTGAAATTGCCAGAAAACTGCAAGAAGAGGAAATTTTGGTGAGTACATTTTAAGGAAGAAGTTCAATGAATCAGTATATTTTTGTGAGTTGAACCCACCTTAGGATCATGTAATATGCACTGTAGTTTTCCAGCAGTTGATGAACTGGTAGTGGAGAAACAAAGATGTAGAATCAGAGCACAGCAGTCCTCCCTTACCCATACTTCATTGTCAGTGGTTCCAGCTACCCAGGGTCAAACTCAGTCCGAAACAGGAAATAGAAAATTCCCGGCAGGAACACGCAGCTCACAGGTTTTTTTCTTCACAGCATATTGTTAAAATTGTTCTTGTGTTATTATTATCATTAAACTCTTTGTGAAAACATAGTATATGTGGAGATTGGTACTAGCCACACTTTCAGGTTTCTGTTGAGGATGTTGGAACGTACTCCAAGTGAACAAAGTTAGACTTTTATATCGATTTTCACTTACTGAGTAAACATTCATAATGAAACTCAACACACCTATCTTGCCATTATTAATTTCTGATAATTTTCTTTAGGACCTACTCTAGAATTTGATCAAAAGAGCCCCTCTGGCAAGTGAATGTACACCAGCTGATTTAGTCTTTTAGCTTAGCTTTAGTGCTGTAGTCTCAAGTACGAGTTTACTTTATAGAAGACTGTTAGAGTGGGCAGCGTGGATTCTAGTTGAGTGACTCTACTCTGTGGTCTTTTCCCACAGGCTACCCAAGAGGACATGAGAGCAGCCCAAGTAGCCCAGGATGAGGTAAGTTCGTGGTAATGATATTTACTGATAATCTTTGGAAATATTCTAGTAATTTTCTACCTGTGAGTCTGCAGTTAATAATAATGACTTGACCTTATTAGGAAATTGCTCGACTTCTAATGGCTGAAGAAAAGAAAGCTTACAAGAAAGCCAAAGAGCGAGAGAAGACATCTTCAGACAAAAAGCATGACCCCGAGTGGAAGGTAGAGTATGTGTTTTGGTTTTTACTTAGAAACAAATACAGAAATAAGAAGAGGACTCTACTTTTAGTTTAAACTCTGAAATATATTTAGGCTACCCAAATTATGTGTATTACCTATGTTAATCTAATGTATATAAGGTTTTTTTACTATGAAAATCATTTAATTTTTGAAAATAACTGCAGAAAATTCTTAGATTGGAAAACTCATTCTGTTCATTGTAAGACCACCTAAGATAGCTTCTTCTGGCTATCAGTAATCTTAGTCGCATATGTTTACATTGCGGGAGAGCACAGTATTTCCACTTCCTCTCAAAATCTTCACAGCAATCTGCTTCCTCTTCGTGCTTCTGTTATCCTTCATGGTTGCCATGTGCCTCTGTCTCTTCCCTTGGATGTGTGGAAGATTGACAGATGCATACCCAGGTCACAGTGTAAGAACTCGACCATGGGCTCAGACTGTTCCCTTTCCCTTCATTCATCAGAAGTGGTTTGCAAAGTGGGTAGTGACTAGTTCATTCTGTTATAAAATAATCTGATTCTTGTAGTGGTGGCTGTCAGTTCAGTTTGAGAGACCATTATCAGTGACTGTATGCAAGCCACCACTCTCTACCTACATGGAAAGACAAAGGTATCGTTTTTTGAATAATAGTACATAATCTAGAGAGAAAGAGAAGTTACAGGCAGCTAAGAAATACAAGCCCAAGTTGGATGGGAGAGCAGAGGTAGCAAAAGTTCATCCTATAGAGGCTTTTTAAGGAGGGCATTTGTATTAGATTTGGAAGCGAAGCAGCCTAGGATGTATATCCATGATACGGTTGATCTTTAGCACTTTTTTCCCCCTAAAAATTCCTCCCTTAGGTCTTTATTCCCACCTCACAGTCTCTGTAATGGTTGTGATGGTTGTGAAGCGATAGAATGCATGGAAACCATACTGGTAGTGTTGCTCTACTGTTTCCTCTTTTCATTTACCCAGTTGTTAGTCTTAAAACTAGTGCAAAATTTTTCCCCATTCCCCTGCCCTCCCTCCAACCCCTCCACCCCTCCCTATTTACAAAGACTTTGTTTCCATTTTTACCTAAAATGTACTAATAAACTTAATGAAAAAAACAAAACAAGTGCAAATATTATTTAAATATTAATTTTATTTACTTAGTACCCCCTTATCCTCTTAGTAATTCAAGATTTTTTTTTCTAATAGTTTTAGTTAAGGATTCTCAAATGCTTCTGCTACACAGAATAAGCCACAGTTACTCAGACTGTCTCTTAACTAGGAAAGGGTAGTATTTTATGGATTAAAAATCAGAAAAGTGGCTATAATTTTTTCACATCTGAATGGCTATGTATAGAGAACATTTTACATTGCTCAACTAAATGTAAATAACCTGAAATTACTAAAGAAGAGTTTGACATGGTGTATTTGTTTTCTAAGCCTCATCTTTCCCTTACTTTTTTTGATTTTTTTATGTGTGTGTTCTGTTTTTCTATCCATAGTCAAAAACTGCTAAATCAGCACACTCCAAATCACAAGAAAGTGATGAGGCTCACCGTTGGAAGACCGACAGGCCAGGACGGTAAGCTGGCCCTGGGAGGGGGCGAGCGGGATGGCTTGGTGAAGGCCGAGCTCCAGAAAGCTGCAGAAGGTGTCAGGTGATGTCAGGTCTGACAGTGCTTTGCTCAAACTTTTCTTCCCAGTCTTAAACTGGATTGTGTAAGTCAAATAAGGGCTACCTTATAGAACCCCGGAGTGTGTAAGAAAGGACGTGCTTTTTATAAGGATTAATTCTTAAATTCTGCATTCATGGAATTTATACCTTTAGATGGGGAGAGGTGAAATGAACTGTTTTCCTAACTAAAATCTCAGGCTTTAAATTTTTACTGGATTTCTTCCTGGCCGCACTGGTGTCTGCATGGCACTTAGATATGCAGGGAGTCGCTTCTGAGGCTCCACACCCTAGGCAAGTCTGGGTCATTGCGGACTCCGTATCGCTGGAGCAAAGGGATGTGGCTTTAGGACTCCTGACTGCTTGCTCTGCACTTCCAGTTGGCAACATTTAAGTCTGTAGGGGAGCAACCTCTGTTTCTGTTTTGTTTTTATTTTATTTTATGACCTTTCAGTAGAATATGTGAGTGGAATATGAAGCGACTACATGAAATAAAAGATGACTAGGGGCTGTGTGGAGAGGGGTTTGTCGGTCCAGGGGTGGTTTAGTGTTAAGTAGGGAGGAATTGTGGTGGCGAATGTGGCTAACAGGAACGAACTGTGGATTTCAGAAAGCTAGAAGAAAGTATATTGAAAACTTCTGCTGTAAGAAGTGATACATGTTTGACGAGATAGGTGTGCTTAGTCTTATTCAGACATTACACCACACCTGCAGGTACTGCCACATCACAGTACTCTCTTAATATGTAGTTTTTATGTTTTCATGTGTAAGTTAATTTAAATAAAAAGAAAAGTAACTGTAAATCTAATATTTTGAAAACTGAATTATTAAAATCTTTTACTTTTGTCCTGATTATTTATTAAAATTATTAAAACATAAGTTCTGTAATACTGAACAATTCGATGCTGCTGTTGTCACTTATTACACACACTTCAGCTGCTAGACTTGCTTCCTTCAAATGAATGTATTTAGTGTCTTTAAAAAAGCCATCCTCTGTTTTTAAAGTCCTATACTTTCAGAAAGTAACATCAGGTTGTATTTCTCTGAAGACAATAGTAGTATAGTCTGACTAATTATAGAAAATCTGTTGCTCTTACAGCTTTTGTGCTGTATGTATGTGTCGAACATTTTTCAAGTCACATCTTAGAATTTTATGGTTTAGTACATACTCAGGTAAAATAGGAACTCTGTTCTCAGGTAAATCTATTTATCTAGACTATCATCTCTCTTTTAAATCAAATAAATTCACATAATTTGTAGGGTTGTTTTGACTTTGTTATTTAAAGTCCTTGACCTTTAGAACACTAATAACTTCTGTAGCAGATATGGTAGAGCAATCTGGGAATGTAAATAGGTACTCTAAAAGTATTTGGCATACTGAAAGGATTAATAATTAAATCATCCTGTATTAAAAAGGACTGTTAGAAATTAGTGGAAAGTAACTTATGGTTAGTAGAATTTAAATCTTTTTTGACCTAAGAAAAACTTTCGTTCTTTAAATATCATTTACCGAAGGATAGTGTATATGGCAAAACACAAATGAGTACGAATTTTATGAAACCTTTATTTTCATAGTTAAAAAATCTTTCACTCCAAATGTATGCTTTTAGGTTAGAATCTATGATTTCCTCTTTTACGTTTAATCATGAAGGAAAAGTTTAATTAGTTATCTGTACAGAAAGAGTTGGTTTTAGGGACTGAAAAACATGAACCTTCATAGGTCGAGATGCTTATTACTTCAGGGTAGTAATAGTAGTTATAGATGAGAAACAAACTGTTTGTTTGTTCATTTCAAATTTTTCTTTCCTCTAAAGAAATAGAGAACCCTAGGAGTCTGAATTAATTGTAACTCTAGTTGGAGAAAGTTAACCCAAGTCCCAAATTGTTTTAACCACAGACTTTTATACTGGTGATACTAGTTGGCATTTTACTTGCATTTTTGCCTTAGAAAAACCTGAAGATCCAGTCAAGCATGTTGGCCCACGCCTGTGATCCCAGCACTCTGAGAAGCTGAGGCAGGAGGGTCACAAGTTCAAGTCCAGCCTGGGCAGTTTAGTAACTTAGCAAGACTCTGTCTTTAAAAAAGGAAAGAAAAAGTAAAAACCTAAAGGTCTTCCAAGTCTTATTTAGTTCCCAGCACATTCTTATGACTATGAATTAGATTTGATCTCCATTTAATCATTTATCAAATCTTTATTGAGAACGCCAATAGTTGCCCAGAACTATGGGAAGCAGCAGCCCACGAGAGTGAATTCTTTCATGCTATCATGAGGTTCATAGTCTAAACAAATAATTGCCCAAATAACTGTTATGATTGTGTTAAGTGCTGTGAATAAAAAGCACAGGGAGTAGAAGAGCATGAGAAGACAACCTGGTTTGGGGGGTCCAGGTGGGTTTCTGGAAGAAGTGACTTTTGAAGTGAATTCTGAAGGGCATTGAAGTATATCACCAAATTAAAGGTTAATCTTCATGAAAACAGGAAGCAATAATCCTAATTCAGAAAAAAAACACTGTGAAATCAACTGTTGTTTCATGAGAGTTTTTCTAGCTTTGGCTATGAATACCCGTAACTTTGAAACAACCATCATTGCAGCATAATAATTTGGTAGAATCCCTGGAAACAGTAAAACACTATTTGTTCTCTGTGTAGCCAAAAACTGAACATAACACACAAGGAGAACTGAGGCCATTCTGAAGTGATTTGTTTATCCTTGCACGGAAATCCTAGAGGACTGGTGGCATCTTGTGCTCCGTCCCACAGCGTTAGAAGCATTGTCCCTGATGATGAGTTAATGTTGAGGCAACATCATGAAGTTTTTTGTGATTCCCACTCAGCTTTGATCGCCCAGTAAAGGGTTTTGATCACCTGGCAAAGGTAACGAAAGAGTGAAGAATATTGTCCATGGCAGTGACTGCCAGCTCTCTTGGCCTGGGCCAGAATTGCTTTTGTAGCCACCTGCTTTGTGAAGCTAGATTCCTTAATCCTCAAGTCAGATTATTTTGTCTCAATTCTTTTTACCTAGTCTTCTGCTACTTTTAAAGATGTTGTATGAGTAAATAATAAAGAAAAACTTTTTATTTAACTTATAATATTTTTAAGCAAATGGTTCCAAGAGAAGAGAAATATGCCACATTTCTTATGCTCACATTAATTATATGTATAAATAACAGATAAGTGAAAATATAAAAACATGCATCTCTTCTAAAAACTCAAAATAGATTTTCAGATATTTCAAAGTCACAGATAACATATGAAATGTGTGTGTATATATGTATACACAGTCTTGTGTACAGATGGTGCTGATGAAAGCACACTTATGTAACTCTGTAATTGTTCAAGTGCACTAATTTGCTAATTCATTTTGTTCTTGAGTGCTACCTGTGCCACCTAATAACTATGGATTTGGAGGGCCAAGGATTTAGCTCAGTGGTTCCGCCGCCTGCCTCGGAAGGTGAAAGGCCCCGAATTCAATTCCCAGTACCAAAAAACAAAACAAAACAAAACAAAAAAATTATGGATTTGGACAGATCTCTTACCTAATTTAACCTATTCTAACTCTAAAGTATGTACATGATAGCTGCTATGCAGCTTTGTCCCAAGGGTTAATCCAGATAATCTGATAGAACCTACAGTGCAGGACTTACCGTATACAAAAGTTTACATCCCTTGCTAACCTGTTCCAGGAGTTACACTGTCAGGGAGACACTTACAAGGACAGGGTGAGAAATGTGAACACACCTGCCTTTATTTTTGTATTACGGAACCCATTGTACCAAACTGACTATAACTTCACAAACCTTGGAATACTTACATATTATAATTACACAAAATGTCCTACATGGTTTTATGTATAAGAAATCTTAGCCTTATCTGATTTCATGCTTTAATGCAAAATTTGAATATATCTTTGGGAAAAAAACAAATAGAGGTTTTTCTTTATCAGTGCCAAATGCTTCAAAATACATTTTAAGTAGTAAATTAAAACTTCCTAATTGTTTTTTTTACTTTTTGGCATAAAAATTGCAGATGTACTACATGGAAAGTTACAAGTTTATTAAGATCTGTTTTGCCACCTAGTGCATGAAGGAGCCAAGCTCATGACATACTATGTGTATCAAACTTCCTTACATCTCTCCCTGGCTCTTTACCTGCCTTTCACCCCTCCTTCTCCTTGTTTTCTTTTCTTCTGTCCTTAACTTTGTCATTTTCTTCTGTACTTTTATTTCTTCCTCTTCTTTCTTTGTAAAAGCTGCTAAAACAAAGTAACTTTCTTATCGGTGGCAGCAGTTATACCTTATTCATCCTTGTTTCCCTTGCACAGTGGCCCACATGTATTTGGGTTGAATTTTACATATCAAAACACAGGGACAGTAGGGTATTCAGGATCCTGCAACTGTCCGGAGAATTGTAAAGCAGTTCGGCTTTTCATTTCTTCAGAAAATATTTTTACCATGCAATCCATCCAATGAGAGGTGGAATTGTAGAAACCATCGCTTAGGTATCTCTTTAAATTCTGACTTCCCTTCAGGCTGCCACCACCTGTCATGACAGAAGCTGAGGATCTGGATGGCACTCACTTTACAAACCAGCATAGTTCTACACGTCATTATTCAAAATCAGAGTCCTCTCATAAAGGTGAGAAGAGTGTGTAAAGTTTCTTATCTCTTTTTATAAGCCCTGTTTTATGGTGGAAGTTGAGGTACTGTCTTCTAACCACTAGAGTGGAAAAAGTTTTCTTCCTCTCTGTAGATCATTATATTGGTATCGTGTCCCCCACCCCCACCCCACCCCCGTGCCCCTGGGCCAGGAATTGAACCCAGGCCTTCACATTTTTTGTTTTGCTAAGTTGCTCAGGTTGGGCTGTAGCCTGTGATCCTGCTGCCTAGACCTTTCAGTGCTGGGTTTACAGGCATTCCCATCATGCCTGGCCATTATATTGTTCTTTATTTATTCAAATACAAAAAAATAAATAAATAAAAAGCAACTTTAAATTGAATGCAAATTTTTTTCATCCACTTACATTTTCATCCAAGGAGAGAAACTTTATTGCTTTCATCAGATTCTTAGTGATTATTTTATTAATTTTTTATTAATACATATTTGTCATACATATTGACTGCATTGATCATAAGGAATTTGTACCTGTTCATAACACATCTTGATTCCCCCTTTTCCCCATTCCTCTCCCCACTCCATCCCCTCCCTATTTACACAAGCTTTGTTCCCATTTTTCCCTTCCATTCTTTTTTTTTCTTTTTCTCTTCCTTTCCTTACCCCTTTTCCTTCTTCCCCCTCCCATTTGAACGTTTACTTCCTACTTTCTAATATCTATCAATCATTCTGCTTCTCAAATACCCTTTGCATTTCGTATACAAGAGAAACAATGCAGTATTTAAACTTGTGTGTCTGATTCACTTCACTTAGGATTATGGTCTCCAGGTACATCTGTTTTCCTAAAAATGACTCAAGTTTATCCTTCTTTATGGTGAAATAGTACTGTAATGTACATAAATACCACATTTCCTTAATCCACTCATCTGTTGATGGGCATATGGACTGTTTCAGGATTTAGCTATTATAAATAAACTGTGCTACTATAAACATGGGTATGCGTGTATCACTGTGGTATGATGCTCTTAATTCTTTCAGGAAGACACACAGAAGGGGAATAGCCGGGACAAATGGAACCTCTAGTTTTAGTTTTTTTGAGGAATCTCCATACTGATTTCCATAGTGTGATTATAACCCTCATCTAAATGCACTGCTTTTTTAATCCAGGCTAAGCATTTGTAATCCCAAAATCTGAAATCTATAATATTTTGAATGCTGATGTGATATTCAAAATATGTCAGATATTTGGATCATTTCAGTTTTCAGATTTTGGATTAGAGATCCTCAATTTACAGTTACTCCAAAATCTGAAACAGTTCTGGTCCCAACCCTGTATTGGATATTGTTTCCTATCTGCCTATGACTGTATTAATTGAAATGTCCCTTATTTAAAACATGCTCACATGCATACCACAAAAAACTTTTATGCAATGGAATAAAGAAAATAGGGAAAGAATATGGGTGTCTACATTGGAGTAAAACTGTAAAATGGAAGGAATAGATATATTTGCTCTTCCAAGGATATAGATTGGTTTATACGTATTTGTTGTGAGAATTTTAAAATGAAATAATAAAAATATAATTGTTTATATTAACATACTTATCTTCTAAATGGAGGCAATCTAAATATTTGATCCCAAATTGTCAAGATCATATAAAATGAAATATGTCAAATAAGTTTGCAGATTGCATATTTTACAAACATAGGGTCTTATTAATTCATGGAGTCTATGATTGTTAAAATTTCTGAAGTTTTTTAGTTAATATTTTTATTATCCTTTTCCAAAGCTAATGGTAGTTTCCCCAAATTTCTTTGAATTACCCTTTAACTCTCATTAAAAAATACCACAGCATTAAAAAAAAGAATGCCATTGCATAGGTAACATTTCTTGCTACTTAGATCAGAATCTCTGGGTAAGGAATGTCAGACATTTGAATATTTTAAAAGCTTCCCTTCCTCCATTTCTGACATTCAGCTAATATTGAGAATAAGATAAAAGATATTGTTTAAGAGATGAAGCTAGTTGGACGTTATAAATGTCACTATCAAAACTGCTCACTCATCACAATTTCCATCAGTTGCTGGAATTTTTACCATCCATGATTTAACTGAAAATTGCTCTCTCAAGTTGTGCATGCATCACTTTTTGGGGGGTGTCTTACTGTCCCCAAAATATATTTAATGCATAATATTACAATAACACTTTTACTTTATATATAAATATTTTAAAATGAAGAACAAAGTAGAGGAACCACTGGAAATACACAGAAATGAAGATAAATCATCTTGGCTAAGCAGGGCGGAAAAACTGAGTTTCAGAGATGCTTCTCCTTAACTGTGTTTCCTTTTTCACTTCTCTCCAGGTTTCCATTACAAGCAGTAACAACTTGGGTATCTGCCTTGAAACGGACTCATTGTAGCAGATATTATTGGATGATACAGAGTTCATTCCACATTGGTTTCCTCCTGTGTTTGCATTCGTGGGATTTATTTTCCAATGTTTTTCTCACTATAAATAATTTCAATTCATTTCAGTGTTCTGGCTATTCCGATCATGTGGGCAGTATAAGAAAACGTAGCTTCCAAATATCGGCCACCTTTGTGATGGAATACTTCTTGGAATATAATATCCAAGAGCTCTACAGAGTGCTGTTTTGTTAGCTGTGGAGTATGGGCATCTAGGAACTAGGTTTAGTTAGCAGTTAAATTCTATGGAGATGAGAAATCAAAGTAAAATACAACATTTGGCTACAACACAGTAAAAGAATATAAGAAATAGTGCTTTTGGTGCACTGGTGTATGTTATTTTGAAGGACAGGAACTTTGTTTTTTCTTCTTTTCAGGAAAAGAAAGTTACAACCAATAAGTATTTTAAAAAGAGACATCTGGAGCAGTTGAAATAGTTGTTCTCAATACATGGACCGCAGTGGTTGCACATCCTTGTAAGTCTTCAGGAAAATTGGCCTAGATACCAACCATTCTTTAACACTTACTGTGCGATTGCTTTGTTAGTAGCCGGGCTTTCTCAAGTCCCCAGTCAATGGACCATGTATTAATAGTCATTGGAAAAACTTCTAACTAAAAATGAAAAACTTTTAATCTCATTTTGTATTTACATGTAGAGCCAAGAGACTATGATTGTATAAGTGAAGATGCTGTCGATTTCTGTAGCTATAGATAAAAGTTTTCCTCTTAAAACCCATTCAAGTATTTGTTGGCAACCTTCTTGTTGAATTAGACAAAGTGGTTCTTTATCTGAGTATTTGATTCAGTACATTTGTTAGTGGGTGTTGTGTTCCCTTAGCCCCGCTTCAAGAAATTCAGAATCATTTCTAGCTGCTAACTCATGGAATTGTTTATTTGCCCATACTCTTTAGTTAACACAAATGGCAGTTGGCAGTCAAGATATATATTATATATTCCTTCAGTTTTATTTGCTATTCTTTTTCCTTGTACAAATCTGACATTTTTGGCATTTCAATACAGTGTTTAGGAAAGAAATATACAAGTGACTAGAGAAAAAGATGTTAGTTCTCCACCCTCTCACTGGAGCTGCCTTCTTTTTGCCTTATTTGTCCAGACTGTCTTTAAAGATGGGCAGTATTCAGGAATCTGTTTAAAACAGAGTCTCACAGTGCATTTGGATCTCTCATTTTGAGAATTCCTTGAGTTTTATAAACTTGAGTAAAAGACACCTGAGAGTTAAATTCTGAGCAAGTGAAAACAAAACCTTAAGGAAAACCTTTTGGAAAAATGGAAGAAAGGAAAAATAGCACTTTGCACAGTTATGATGAAATGAATATGACAGTCTTCATTTAAGGAAGAGGAGACAAATGAAAGTCCAGCCTTATGTCAATTACAGATAGTTTAATATCTATAAGCCTGTTGACTTAGAGTAATGCTATATTTTTCTTTATCTGCCCTGTGATTTTCTTCATTTTTAATTTTTTTAATAATAACTTTAAAAACATACAGTTGTCTTTTTATTTTATATCAATTTAGGCAAATGGGCAACATTTGCTATATTTTTATTTTATAAATGTTTATTTTTCTATCTCATGCAGTGACTGTTTTCCTTTCAAAATTCTGAGTTTTATTTTTCATGTACTTCATTCAATCATATTTATTATTGTAAAATGTCAACTTGATATACTTCAGTCAAAAAAAGTCAGACCACTTAACACTTAACCAGAGTACTAGTGTCTCAGCTGTCTTAGTGAGTGACCAAAGGTAGTGTTGCTCTTGTGATAGCCAATTCAACATCAGTATTGAGAATTTACTTTTTTTAGGTTTTTAAAAGATGAGAATTTTAAAATATTTTATCTTTATTTTATTTTTTTTTTGAAAAGCACACTTTTTTTAAGAGCATCAGTAATTATTTACGTGTGAGCAGGAGATAGAAATTAATTCTCCCAGTTATATTTTCATTCTTTTTCATTCAGATAATGTAAATATTATCTTTGAGATGATAGGAATATTAACAACTGTATTTTAATGAACTGCCACTCTTCACTGGGTTCTCTGCTTTTTACTTTGTCATTTTTATATAAATGTAGAAACATTTATGTTGTTTCTGTTCCTGCTTTCGGAACATATGCAGTTTAAATCTTAGGCCCATACTGTATTATACTTTAATGTTGTCATGTAAATGAATAGTTTTGGCCTTGGAAAACCTTTGTGTTGCTAAGTTTCTGTTCTCTGGGGTTCAGGCCTCATTCACAGCAGAACTGCTGACTAAGCACAGTATGGTACCGAACCTTATCTTGAGGCGCCTTGACGTCCCCTCTCCCCCACCTACTGTAAATCATTGCCTGGGAAGAGAGTTTGGATCAGGGTCACATTGAATGTTCTGACTTGAAAAAAATTTGACTCTGTTCAAGCCACTGTTAAACATTATTATTTGATTGGCAGACTGGACAGTTGCTTCATATGTTTTAAAACATTGAGATTTTTTAGAACGTGACTTTGTATGCCTTTGAATTACTATTCCTCAAGTGACTTTTCAGCAAGCAGCAGCATACTAATCATCTGCGAAAACAAAACAAATACTGTATTGGGATTTTGACCATAGAAAAGCATCTAAATTAGAAAGGAAAAATGTGCTCCTCAAGGAGGACAGCCTTTACAGAGTGGCATTGACAACTTACATCTAGGTCAGTATGTTCCAAAATGTGTGAGCTTGAGCTTTTTTTCTTCCCATTGAACTCTAGAAAATTCTGGACCTGACCCATGCCCCTCTCTTCTCTTCTGTGGCTGAAAGCAGAACTAGATGATGAGTAAATTCATTGCTGACTGTTCTCCGTCTCTCTCTCACAGTCAGAGCACGACAGTATAAAAATAGCTTTTAACTGTTATTATTTTTCTCTAACAGTGTCAAATCTTTCTAAATCTGTCTTGTGCCAAATTGGAAATGCCTACTATTTATTATATGGTGCATTCAGTTTACCACTTAGGTGGTAATATTTTAGGGCCTTGATTTTGAAGTGTTGCCTTTGTATAAAAATCACTTAGGGAAATATCAAGAAGATAACTGATTGGCTAAGGTCCTCAGCATGATAAAGGAGTGAGACCACTCTATAAACAACTGGAAAAACTGAGAAAAGAAGAGAACTTATAGTCAAAGGCTTTTTCCCATTTTGGAAGATAGTGTCTGAGTAGGGAGCATTAACATCAAAAGGGAACACAGTTCAGGTAGATTTCAGGATGCATAGTGTGCTATATTCTGATAACGTAGGCTTTTTAGAAACAGTTATAAAAAAATCAAAAGCTGGATTTTTAGTAACAGTGTTAAGACTTTTTAAAATACATGCTATGTCCGTCACTTACTGCTTATAGTCAGAGAAGTGACTCTGAAATGGGCCCGTTTTCGCCTCATCTCTGTTGGTGCCTGTGAGTCTTAAAAGCTATACCTGCTTATCCTGCTGTCAACAGAAAACTTTTTTCTTCTTAGCACATCGTAAGTAATATAGGCAGAGAGGAGCAAAAGATAGACGCTCCTGTTAACGCTGCATGTGGCATGTCATCCAGTTCTTTACCGAACAATCCGTTTTGTCCAGGGCGACAGGTAAACTGTGTATGGGAAGAACCTGAGGCTATTGTTGCTCCTGGACTTTAACAGCTGTTAACAGAAGTGCTAAATTTTTTAATTCTAGAGAAGTCAAGAAGGTAAGGATAAATTGAGGAAACACCAATATTATAGTCACTTTTCTGGTGAGTCCTGCACTTTACACCAATGATGTCTTTGAGGAGCAGTGTTGCCTTAAATGAGTGTGACTCTGATTGAGGCCCTTGTAATCCTCTGTGTGAACAGCAGCCAAGTCCCCATTGAAATACCAGATCCACAGATGATTCCCAAGTGTCTTGGTCATCCAGCGCTTTGGAGCTGGGGCTCCCCTGTGACTCTGACAGTCACATCCCGTCAGGCTCCTGAGTAAGCAAAGGCCTGACTAAAAAAACTGGCAGAGGGAGAGGAGGTTTTCTGAGCAGGTCCTTCATACCAGGTGATCACCTTCTGAATAACTGACAGTTCACTGGGCTCCTTTTTTATGGCAACTCTGTGGGACATAGTTCCAAAGGTTCTGTTCTACCCTAAAGGCATTCAGACTATTTGAAGGAATTTCAGCAGTACCTGTGTGTACCAGACTGCTTGTCATTAACAGAAACATGAAAAAACCAAACAAAATCCAGATAGTTATTTGCAATGGGAGATTTGCTCATGTGAAGTGTTTTTCTGTTTATTTTTTTAAAAGAGAAAATTAGGAAAACTTTTGCTTTGGTAGGGATGACACCAGAGTGGGTTTAATAGGTTCTATTTAATCCTACAAAATGACACAGTCATGTAAGTAATCATGTTGATTGTGGAAATAACTGGCCTTAAAAAGCATTCTCTTTCATTCATTCATACAAAGACGAGAACGTACAAAGATGTTCTCAATAGATTTCATATAGTTCACAATAGATTTCTCAGTAGATGTTCTCAGTAGATTTCATATAGTTGTATGTGTTGTGTTTTTAGCAAACTAGAAAATGTTTTTCTCTTTTTAAGTAACTTTTCCTAGTATTGGGAACCAGCACTGCGCAGATTTCAGCATTTCAGATCAGGGCAGAATTAACTGTGTAACTCAATGCCTACTATCTATTGTTGAGATTCAAATATAAAGAATAGAATAGTTTTTACATGGGATTTGAGTAACATTTCCTTCACAAAAGAGCAACAGTTGAGAACGGTGAAGAGAACAGTTGAGAGAACAGACAATCCATTATATACTGAAGGCATATCTTTTTTGCACTGAATTTAAGACCATACAAGCTAAAATAGTTTCTAGCCATTAAATTTGGTGAAAGGATTTTTGTTGTTAGAATTTTTGTATTTCTGATTGAATTAGTCACTAAAGTAACCATGGGCCACTCTTTAGCTACTCTTTTACTCTTTACTCTTTAGCTATTCTGTAGCTCTTCCTAAAAATTGAAAGCCAAATGCCCCTTCTCAGAAATAGCTGTTTTTACTTGCCTCTTACAGGTAACTCAATATTCATTTCTGGAAACACTGTAAATTAGATGTGACAGTGGGAAAATGGCATATAAAAAAGATGTTCCAAAATAAGAATTTTCTGTAATATGGATTTTTTTCTTAAGAATCCATCCCAGCACAATACTTACTTTGAAAAGGTGCTGAATTTTAAAAATATGAGTTTGCTCCTAGAAATCAAGTTGCTCAGGAAATTTGACGTAATAAAGTCATTTGTCTTATAATTTGAAAAAGTAATCTCTTAAGAGAGATTACACACTGCTTGAGTACTTTCCATTTTTTGGTAAGACCCCCTTTGATATACGAAATACGGATATGTTTATAAAGCAAATGAGATGTTATCCCTCCTGCTGGTTGATTTATAGCCAAACCCCAGAGGCAAAAGCAGCTTGGAAATAACTGTGTCATGGAGCTTAGCAGAACCTTGATGGAATATAGTTGTCTGTGTGAGGACAGAAAACAGAGGCCATTTCATACCACATGCCTGTTTAGCGATTGAGTGAAACTGTGAGGGACGCTTTGTGAATGCCTTAAAGGTGAGCAGTGGTGGGTACTGCTTGGTATGTGTACACTCATCTGAATTAGGCTGATGGAAACAGTCTATTTCATTCACCTTCACACAGCACAAGTTGTTCTGCACATAACCTCATCAAGGAGGATGAGAAACATGGTGCTGGTAACTCATGTGTCCTGTGAGGTGGAGGTGGTCGGCAACACTAAGGCACACTGCAGTGCTCAAGCCTTCCTTAAGTACCACCTAAACATCTGCATCAGTTCATCTATGCAAGCTTAAGTTGTCATGGTTTGTATTTTACACCTATGTCTCATTTGTTTCTTCAAATACCAGATTTAATATTGATATTATGAATAATTTTTAAACCAAAGTATTGTATCAGTCTGTGTGCTTTGTTTTCCTGAATGGTTAGCGGTAAACACCCATTTTGTCCTCTCAATAAAGTCATCCATTTGTTAAGCCAGTGAACTCTGTCTCATAGTTTTCTTTCTCAGTTTCTATATTCAAGTGCTTAGGAATTTATAGGTCTGTATGGCTTTTTTCTTTACAAAACAGCACTAATGCATCTTTAATACTAGTGCAGTATCCTCTTACTCCACTTCCATCTGCTTCCTATAAACGTACACAACATAAAACTAATTCAGAGTATGTTGAAAATCTCAGAAAGCACTCCCGACTATAAACCAGGAAAGTAGCTGTGTTTTGTGTGGTGGTGTTTGGTGATGTGATTGCATTTGGGAGGAAAAAAAACAATTACGTGGATGTTCACACACTAATCCTAAAGACTAAACCTCCATGAGTAAAACCCACTTTTCTCCTGATGCCTTGTGTACCCTTAAGTGGGTTTTGAGAAGATGGACACAACTGTCATTTATTTCAAATGCTGCCTTTATAAAGATTTTTTTCATTTTATGTTTAGGTGGGATAGCCCTGCTGTAGAAACTGGTTCTGCAGATATTTAGCAGGTCTCCTAAACATCAGATACTGTTTTCAGTCACTACAAAACTGAAAAGTTCCCTGGAGCAGATCATCTGGGCTTCATTTTCTTCTCCGGCAAAAACAGAATCTAGATGACTTCCATCATCACTGCCAGCTCCTAAACTGCACCAGTGATGTACATGTTATGTAGTTGAAGAAAGTTGGTGTATTGATTTCTACCTTGGTTATGAAAAAGTTCTTGGATGAAGTTTCCAGTAAAAAAATATCAACACAGGTAGGAGCCAATTTAAAATGATATAAACAAGATGGCTCCCTTCAATATGCAGCAGGAGGTGGTCCATATGGTGGGCTGCTTCTGTGGAATGACAGGCCGTGACCCTGTGGTGTGGAAAGGTAGCAAACCAGAGCTCCAGGGCAACAAACATCTCCCACACCTTAGAAATGTGGAGTAGTATTTAAGACGCACCTGAAACGTGAGAAGGCTACGGTTGGGGTTTTGTTTCCAATGCCAGGGTTAAGTCCATGGCCTCACTCAGGCTTGGCAGCCACTCTGCTACTCACCTGCATGCGCCCTGCTTTTGAAATTTTATTTAGTGATAGCATCTAAATTGTGGTCCTCCAAACAGCCCTTGAGTGACTGGGTTATAGGCTTATGCCACCGCGCCTAACTGGAAATGGGATTTCAAGAAAATTTCACCTTCATTTTTAGGGGCAAAAAGACCACGTCCCCCCCCACCCCCATATGTCAAGCAACAAAAACTAAAATAAGTGAGTGTACAACAGTAATGGATAGAATTGAAGAGGCCTGATCATCCGTGTTTTGATAAGAACATGCTTCAGGACTTTGGGATATCTTTTATCCTGTGTATTTTAGTTCTTTTATCTGTACAATAAGCACTCCAAGTATAAAATTCTAGTATCCCTGCTGTCTAGAACACCTGGTTTCCTATAAGATGCTGCCAGGAAGAGAACAGCCTTGTACACTAGCAGGACCCTGCAGAGTCACAGATACTTCCCAGGCCTTCCTCTGAAAGGTCTCAGCCCTGAGCTTATGTTCTTGACTGTACTATTCTGCTACTTCTAGCGCATCCAGCAGCTTGTAACTGATTTGTATGTATTCCTCTAACCAAAACCTATATTTGATCTCTGAGCTTCAAATTTGAGCCTCCTTTATCAAATGGTCTTTGAATGTTCTTCTCAAGTCTTCATTAGTATATGTTTCTTGCTCAATTCTAAATACACACCTACTTTGGTTACCAATTCCTCAGAATAATTAACCCCGATTCAGAGTTCATGGTAGTCATGCCATGTCCTTGGTTACACCCGCCTTTTTTTTTCCCCCCTTTGGACCAGGATTTTATTTTTTTATTTCAATGTAATACAAGTAGATATTAATTAAAAAATGTTGTTTAAAAGCACTCTTGTATGAAAAAGTAAAGCAAAATGGAATCACAAATGAAAGAATAACATTAGTAAATACACTATGAACCATAATTTAAAAAGAATAGCCAAAATGTTAGGGTACAAGTCAGACAAAAAAGACTTACAAAAAAGAAACAGATAATAGCACAAAACCTTTTCTTTTCAGTGAACGGAAAGGAACTGCAGGTATAAATGAAACAAATTAGCATGCATGTTGAAATACTTTTGAAACCATGGAATGTATAATTTGGGGAATGATTAGGACTTCTCCCTACTTCCCATTTCTCTATCTTCTTTTTTTCATGTTTTCTTTAACACTTCATAGAAACTATGTACAATAAATTTCAACTGTATTTTCCATAAGATAGCAGCTGCAGAAATTTACATAAGATTAGAAGGAAGCTAGATGGTTAAGGAGGAGCCAGTCCTGTGTGATATTTTCTCAGAGCATGAAAGTGAGTTCAGTTCTGGAAAAGGGTTCAGACTGCCAGATGAAGTGGATGTTAAAAAAACTGAGGTGCAGGCCTTTGGGTAGATAACCAGATGCTGGGATCACCAATATTTCAAAGGCACCATTCTTAAACATAGTCCCCATCTAGTCATCTATGTGGATTCTTGCCAGGGACTTAGGAAATACCATTCCAGAGGTGTCTTTCCCATTAGCCAAAGTCTCAAACATTCATTCAATCCCAGACATAGAGATGACCTATCCTCATCCCGAATAGGAAGAAACCCACAACTTTTGGACACTGCTGACCCAATCTCCCCAATTTTAGTTATTTCCACTTTTGGATTCTCACACCAGAGAAACAACATGTCACTGAAACATGTGTCTGATTTATTTCACTTAAGAGTATGGTCTCAAGGTGCATCCATTTAGCTATAAATGTCTGAAGCCCATCCTTCTTTATGGCAGAGTAGTATTCCATTGTATAAAAACCCACATCTTTATCCACTCATCAGTTGATGGGCATTTAAGCTGTTTCCAAGATTTAGCTATTACAAACTGCTGCTATAAACATGGGTGTGCATATATCTCTGTGGCATGATGCTTTTAATTCAGGAAGATTCCAAGAAGAGGAATAGCTGAGTCAAATGGAACCTATAGTTTTAATTTTTTTTAGTAATCTCCACACTGATTTCCACAGTGGTTGCACCAGTCTGCACTCCCACCAACAGTGGAGAAGGGTTCCTTTTTTCCCCAAAGTCCCACCAGCATTTGTTATTGGTTAACTTTTTGACAGCAGCCATTTTTTCTGGAGTTAGATGGAATCTCCATGTTGTTTTAATTTGCATTTCACCAGTGACCAGTGATGTTGAACATTTTTTCATATATTTATTTGCTGTTTCTAATTCTTTATCTGAGAAGTGTCTTTATTTCAGATGTCCATTTTTGGATCTGGTCTTTAAATTTGGGAGGTCTGATTTTTTTGGTTCTTTATAGATTCTAGATAATAGTCCTTCATTTCATGAATAGCTGTTAAAAAAAATTTTCCCATGTTGTAGGTTGTCTCTTCACTCTGTTGGTGGTTTCTCATGCTGTGCAAAAGCTTTTTAATAAGATGAGGTCCAATTGTTGATTTTTTATAGTATTTCCCATGTAGTCTGGGTTTTGTTCATGAAGTCTTTGCCTACTCCTATGTCCTCAAGCGTTCTACCTATTCTCTATTCCAGCAGATTTAATGTTTCTATTTTAATATTTAGATCTGTGATCCATTTTGATTTTAGGTTAGTGCATGATGAAAGATGAGTCTAGTTTCAATTTTTGGCATATGGAAAGCCAGTTCTTCCAGCACCATTTGTTAAAGAGGCTATCTTTCTTCCAGTAAAAATGTTTGACTCCTTTGTCAAAGATGAGGTGGCTGAGTATGTCTGGAGTTGTTTCTGTATCTTCTAGTCTGTTCCGTTGATTGTTGGGTCTATTCTTTTGCTAGTACCATGCTGTTTTTATCACAGTAGCTTTATAATGTAATTTCAGGTCAGGAATTGTGATACCCACTGCCTTGCCCTTGTTGCCTAGAATTGCTTTGGATATTTTAGGTTCCAAATGAATTTTAGGATTGTTTTTTCCAATTCTGTGAGATATGCTGTTGGAATTTTGGGATTCCATTGAATCTGTGTAACAATTTTGGAAGTATGGCCATTTTCACTATATTGGTTTTTCCTATCCAAGAACAAGGGATATCTTTCCATTTTATGATATCCTCTTTGATCTCCTTCCGTAGTTTTCAGTCTTAACACCTGCCACTCTTAATAATTTAGTGCTATTGCTTTCCTGTGCTCTGCCCTCACTAGCAGTGCTCTAGGTACCTGGCTGACCTCACTGAAGCTTTTCCTGCTGAACTGCCAACCTCATGCCCTCAAACTTCTGACTAGACTTTGGGACCTCAGACATAGCAGAGAGGACCTCTGTGTGTGTGTGTGTGTGTGTGTGAGAGAGAGAGAGAGAGAGAGAGAGAGAGAGAGAGAGAGACTCAGGTAAATATGTCATGGGCTCTAAGTGTTCCTACAAATGGTGATGGACTTTGCTAGTATGGAGAGGACATTGCCAATTTCTGCTTATCGATTTTTCCTTTCACTGGTCATTCACTGTCTGAGAACCCTTACACATATTTTCTTCCATGTATTTTTTTCAAATTTTATATTTAAGACCTTGATACATTTTAATTAACTTTGTATGTGAAGTGTGAAGTTTAGATTCAGATCTTCCCTCTCTCATAATTAACATGCTATTTTTAAAATTGGTTTTGTACTTTTCTCTAAAGTTGGTTATATGTATTTTATGTGGGTTTTTCTGAGTCCTCTGGTCTATCAATCTGTTTCAGTACCTCCTCCAGTACTATACTGTCTTGATTACTATATTATTTACACATTGAATATCCCAAATCTGTAACTTGAAATACTCCAAAACCCAAAGCTTTCTGAATGTCAACGTGATATCACAAGTGGAAAATTATACATAATTTGAACATTTCATACAAAAAAGTATTAAAAATACTATATAAATTACCCTCAGGTATGTGTATAAGATATATAAGGTATAGGGGCCGGAGATTTAGTTCAGTGGTTTCGCTGCCTGCGGCGTAAGCGCAAGGATCCAAGTTCGA